GTTAAATGAATTTTTTTGCTACTCACTTTTAAAATGTTAAATTTTCCTCCTTCATAGATTCAAATGAATAAAATTTGATGCCAACCCAAGTTTTTGACCACTTTTTAGTCTGAAATCACCATGTAATTGACATTCAGTTATTTTTTATATACAAAAAGGTTAGATTCCATTTTTTCAATGGCAAAAGTGAATATAGATTAGATCAAATCTCATTTTTTTAGGAGAAAAATAAATATGATTTAGATCAAATTCTATTTTAAAGGACAAAAATGAATATGGATTCGATCATTTATTTAATTATAAATGGGATATGACAGGTTGTCAGCCTGTGCAATAATAAAATTAAGCCCAGTTGCCAGTTAAAGTAGCCAAAGCCCGATTCCAAGTACAAGAGTAGGGACTCTAGGTGTGCAATGGGTTACTTGATTCACCATGTTCCCGAAGAGTTTGCTTGATCCGATATACCCGAATGGGATGGCTTTTTTCACAAATAATTATGAATTTTATAGACATGGCAAATAGGGTCGTATCCTCAGGGATTAGGGATATTTGTCTCTTAAGAAGTCCACAGTAACACAGGGGGGGTGATTTTGTAGGAACGACGACGATCAAATAAATTCAAATAAGAAAGTAAAAATAAATAACTAACTAGAAATTGAACAACAATTCGCTGAACTTAGAGTAACAATAATTAAAGGCCTAAATCAATTAAAACAAGGAAACAATTAAAGATAAAATAAAGTAGGCAACTAAAAGTCAAATGGCAATTCACTAAAATCAAGGTAATATTAATTAAAGATCTAGCCAAGAAATAACTTCAGCAATGGTTCACCTAATTGATCATCGAAGCAAAGACAATTCCAATTATTTATCAATAAATAGGTTATAACTACCAAACAAGCGATGGCAGTCAACCCCTCCTTACTAGGTCGGTGATTAAGGTACGCCCGTTAATCACTGCTCTAATTAGGAAATAATCTTAGATACGCCCGTAAGATTTAATTTCTCAATTGCCTTACGTATTAGAGGAGCCCTATTCTAACCAAATAACGCACTACCAGGGTTATTTTAGATTAGCCCGCGTATTCCCCTGACACAAACCTAATCATGCCAGTTGTCACTATTTTAGAGCAATTAAACAATTACGGATTTAATGCCCTAATTGACAATAGATTACCCAATCAACTAATTATCTGGATCCAAGACAATCAATTAATTAAATAATCATAAGCACTACAATCAAGAAATATGCGAATACCAATAAATAAAAGAAAAAGATGAAATTAAATCGATCTCACAATTTTAGACGACCCAAAGCCTCCGTTGTTCCTTGACTAGAGTGAAGAAACTAGTTCATATTTGATCAACTAAGTCCACAGGAAGTTGGAACAAGAGTCGCGGCCATTGTCACAAAAATTGGGAAAACTCATTTCGATCTATTCAAGGCGAAAAGCAAATTACAAGAAGCAATGGATTGTTTTAATGCGTCTGCCATACGAAGAAAAGAGAAACTATTCAAGGACTATGCGGAAAAGTCAAAGGAAAAACTCTAATTTCTCCTACCATCCGTGGAGAATATCTCCCCAAAAACTAAGAAGAAAAGTCAAAGGAAGATTAAGCTAAAGGAGAAAATCCAAAGCTAAGCTAAAGGAGCTAAAGGTAGTGCTTTTTCTCCTCTGCGCCATTCTTATTCTAATTGCTGCCCAAGCTCTGTGCGGCGGCACCTCCCATGAATCCAAGGCCCTGTGTCCGCTGCCCTCTTTCGCAAAATTACCAAAATGGGCGTAACATCTTCTTTTCCAAAAATGCCCCCGGGACAAGCTCTATCATCTGGATTCCTTTTCTGTCAAATTGGCACTTGTTATCACATTTTCGTTCAACTCCCTGAAATAGATGCAAAATACTAAAAGTGAGTAGATTTTAACAATTAATCCACATCGGGTCAGGTAATAGGGGAAATTAATAATAAAATAAATGATAAAATCGCACCCTATCAATTCCCCCCACACCTAAACCATGCTTGTCCTCAAGCATAATAACAGCAAACAAACCCAATGTTTGACAAAGACTATTGCCCTATCTACCATATTGCCAAGACACCAAGAAAAACATAGATCGAGTCTCAGTGATCAAGATCCAAGAAACATCACTCTGGTTAGCTTCTAAACCACAAGCTCCTCTAATTTCATGTTAACTAATCTAAGAAGAAGGAATGACGCAAAACATTTATCAGCAAATGGTCCAACTATTAACCAAAATCTCAACATTAAATCCATAAATTGGCAGGCTGACTTTTATTATTCACTAACACAACCTTCACTCTTTTTTTTTATCACATTTTCTACTTTTCTTCTTTTTTTTTTTGTTTTTTTTTTGGAGTAATAAAAGACTTAGTCGCTAGCCATTGGAGCCTTTTGACGCGAACTCTAACATTTGTTAGATGAAAGAGCCCGGTTACTCAGCCCCTATCGCTACGTGACCATGTACTCATAGCAATTACTACTTTTTGATGCGAATATCTACACTTTTGGTGAAGATCCCCAGTTACTCGGTAGTAAATACTGGCGGAGTACAGTCAACTCTTATTCACAGCGAAATAACACAAAAAGAATTCAAAATAGCACAGAAATCAAAAGAAAATCTGCAGCCGCTAGCCTCATTTTCCAATATGGAGAACTAAAGTTAATCATTGGACCAACTCACATGAAAATGCCAACAATCATTCCCTATGCCTAGAGAAGTTAACAAAAAATTAGAAGAGCTACATAATCACTGATATTCACCAAAGGAATGCTCTTGGATTCAACCACATTAACTCGATACATTTTTATTATTAAAACTAGGCAAAAGTAGAAATAGGGGCAACAATTCAACATCAAACCTTGGCATGCACATGTGAACTAATCACTAAAAAGAAAGAAAGGAAATGCACGAAAGATGGCCAAATAACAAACTAAAAAGAAAGAAAGAAGAAAAAAAAATATGAGAAAAAAAAATAAATAAAAGAAAAACACCTAAAAACTAGAAACGCTAGCACCCCCCATTTGCTCCCCCCACACCTAAATCACACATTGCCCTCAATGTGATAAACTAACAGCAAAAGGAAGGAGAAGGGCAACGGTACTTCCCTGGAGTATTCAAAACAGTGGAGGGTTAGGCGGAAATTAAGGAGGAATTCCGGTGTCCTGCATAAATGCCGCCAAATTTCTGCATAAAAGCTGACAAAACTTGCCCATCCCAAAATCTCAATAAATGTCCCCAATTGGACAGTTAATTTCTCAACTCAAAATCGGCAATTCCAGCAAAAGCAGTTTAGAAATTTGATAATAGCCACACAATGACAAGCACTTAGTTCCCAATCAGGCAGCCAACCAAATAGAAATAACAAATGCTAGTCAAAATATCCCAACCAGTGCCACTGATGCACACACAGGTAAGAAACAATGCAAACATGCAACCCAAATCACTGACAATGCCCCTCCAAATCAATAATAGAAACCAACAGCTAGAGTGCCCCAACAACTCAACTGAAAACTACTAATCTCAACAAGTAAATCAAGCAACCAGGTTTTCCAAATCAACAGGCAGTAGCAGAACCAAATCACCCAAATATCAATAGACAATTGCAGTATGTAGGCCTACCCAAAATCTCAACAGATGGCTCCAGTTGGCCAGGAAATGTCATAAGTCAAAACCAGCAAATGCAACTACGACAGCTTAGAAATTTGTCAATAAGAACTCAGCCAACCAATTAGAGGTAACAGATTCAATTTAAAATATTCCCACCAGTACCTCTGGGGGTAAACTCTAGTAAATGAAAAATCTCAACTAGCCAACCGAATTAGCAAAAATTTCAACAAAAACCCAAGTGAAACAGCGCTCAGTGGATGCCCATAGTAGTCCAACAATTCACTTCAATTTACGCAATAACTGAAGCGACAAAATAAATCCCAAATGACTCCAAAATTGCCCTATGCACTTGAAATTGAAAAATTACCAACACGGGCTGTTGGACATGTTAAAGAACAGGAGTTAGACGAATACCTCCACCTCGATGACTACATGGAGCGAAGGTGCGGCAAGGGACTCAGTAGCTTGCGACGCACAGGTGAAAAGCGGCGGCGTTTGGAGAGCCGCGGCTTCGCGAGTGGCATGGGCTGAGAGAGAGAGAGAGATCGGCGGACAGCAGTGGAGAGAAGCTGCCCGCGCGGAGGCGAGAGGAAGATCGGGAGGCAGCTTTCGGCGGCGCGCAATGGGTTGGCGGTGTGCGCGAGGGAGATGGTGGACTTGAAGTACGGCGGCGTGTGGAACAAAAGAAAGAAAGGGCGAACAGGGGCAGCGGGAAGAAGAAAGAAGAAAGAAAGAAGAAGAAGAAAGAAAGAAAAAAAAAAGAAAGGAAAGAAAAGAAAAGAAGAAAAAAGAAGGAAAAAGAAAAGAAAGAAAGAAAAGAAGAAAAGGAAAAAAAGGAAAAGAAGTAGTTTTTTTTTTTGAAATTTTAATTTTGGAAACAAAGGTTATAACTAAAGGGAAAGAAAAAAAAATTTTCTAAATTTTTTTTCTAATTTTTATTTATTTAATTTTTTTTTTTAGTAATAACAAAACTTATTTTCGAAATTCAAAATTAGGGATTAACAGGAAATTGAAAGCTATTCTCGAGTTTAGAATACTTACTTTTCCCGCGAACGTGACGCGGGCAAGTCATGAAGGCATGGAATCTAGAACTTTCCAGGTTACTTGACGCGGGCACGTCAAGAGGGCAAGAACCCCTTCTGACGATTCTGACCATGAGCTCTCCAGACGTCATGACGCGGGCGCGTCATGACAACAGGACACGTACAAATCATCAAAAACGAAAATTGAAACCCGAAATCAGTCAAATTCAAGAAAAACATATTTAAACTATCACACGAATTCAAACAAACAATTAAAAGAAACAATTGGGTTGCCTCCCAATGAGCGCCTTTCTTTAATGTCTTTGGCTAGACATTGAACACCACTCTTCAATCTGGGTGTAACTCAATTTTCCTGGAAATTGGTGGTCCTCCTCCAGGATCCAAATAGCCTTTGAGTGCAGCCTTCTTTCTTAATTTTCTACTCCTTTTCACCTCATACAGTGTTTTCATCCCCTTATACTTGTTCTCAGTAAATTTGAATTTGTCCCTACAAGCAAACTCAGAAAATTCTTGCACAGAGAGATTAATAGCATGAATAGCAAACACAGGGTGAGAGTTAACAGGATGTTCCATTGTATCAAAAATATTAAAGTGGACTGGTTCTCCATCAAATTTCATGGACAATGTACCCTTATTAACGTCAATTTTTATCTGTGCTGTGCTCAAAAAGGGTCTACCTAGTAGCAAAGGTGAGGGGTCAGGGGAATGATCATCATCCATGTCAAGTACATAAAAGTCAGCCGAGAATATCAATTCATTAACTTTTACCAGCACATTCTCGACCAACCCATCAGGGTATGCATTTGTTCGGTCAGCTAATTGAATTATTATCTCGGTTTCTTTTAATGGACCGAGATTCAGAGAAGCATACATAGATTTAGGCATTACGTTGATCGACGCTCCTAAGTCCAGCAGGGTATTCCTAATTAAAGTGTTACCTATCCTACATGTGACAGTAAACCTACCTGGATCCCTGCACTTTGATGGAAGCTTCCTTTGGAGAACTGCTGACACATTCTCCCCAACAATGATTCTTTCGTCTCCCCTCAGCCGCTTTCGGTTGACACATAGATCCCTCAAAAATTTTGCATACTTCGGCACTTGTTTAATAGCATCTAATAAGGGAATATTGATCTCTACCTTGTGGAACACCTCCAGGATCTCTTTCTCCTTGTCCTGCTTCTTCAGTTTCTCCAACCTGCAAGAAAATGGAGGGGGATTAGTTTTAACGTCTATGATCGGGTAAGGGAGTACCACTGGATTTTTTGTGCTTGTATTCTCTGCCTGAAGTTCTTTCTCAATCTTCTCTTCGTCCTTATCCTTTGGAGTCACGAGTTCGGGCCCCTGAATTTCCTTCCCGCTCCTTAAAGTCATTGCACTTACGTTCTTCAGGTTCAGTTCAGGTTGGGATGGCAATCTTCCATTTACTTGAGACTCCAGACGGTTGATTGATATTGCCATCTGATTTATCTGATTCTGCATCGCTTGTATCTGACCCATCTGACTTCTTATGTTCCGTAGTTCGGAATCTGTCTTTTGCTGGTGTTGTGCAGTACTAGCTATCAATTGTTTCATCATATCTTCCAAAGATGAACTGGCGCTCGGTGGATGTGGTGGTGGTCGAAATTGATACTGCTGCTGGTACTCTTGTTGTCTACTTGGCATAAAATTGGACTGCCTATTTCCTCCATAACTGAAGTTGGGATGGTCCGTCCAACCAGGATTGTAGGTGTTCGAATATAGGTCATATTGATTTCTTGGCGCGGGCGCGTGACCAGCCATGTTCACTTGCTCCACACTTTCTTCTTGGATCATTGGGCACATGTCTGTTGAATGACCCATACCAGTGCAAACCCCACACACCTTGGCCTGAGATGCGTTTCCTACAGCCAGTTGCCTAACAAACGAGGTCAACTCCGTCAACTGCTGCTGGATAGAGGATGTCTTTACCTCATTCACCTTGCGTATCGGGACATCCTCCCTCGTACCAAATTGCTGCGAATTCTCCACCATTCCTTCAATTAGCTCCCACGCTGCTCGAGGGGTCTTGTTCACCAGTGCCCCTCTACTTACAACATCAATGATACTCCTGTCTCTGAAAAGTAACCCATCGTAAAAATATCGTATAAGTAACTGCTCACTTATTTGGTGTTGGGGGCACTTAATGCACAACTTCTTGAATCGCTCCCAGTACTCATAAAGCGACTCCCCTGGATGCTGCTTGATACCGCAAATTTCTTTCCTTAATCTCGCAGCTCTGGATGCAGGGAAATATTTATCTAAAATTTTTTTCTTCAACTGATCCCACGTGGTGATACTACCTGGTGGTAGGTAGTACAACTAGTCTTTTGCTGAATCCTTCAGGGAGAAGGGGAATGCCCTCATTTTTATCTGCTCTTCTGTGATTCCCGGGGGCTTCATACTATTGCACACGACATCAAACTCCTGCAGATGCTTATACGGCTCCTCACCTGGTAAACCATGAAAAGAAGGTAAAAGATGAATTAGACCAGATTTTAATTCAAATGGAGTGTTATCACTCAAACTCGGAAAAGTAATACACAAAGGCTGCTGATTTAAATTAGGAGTAGCCAACTCCCTTAATGTTCGGGCATTAGCCATGGTAATTTCTTCTCGATCCGAATCACTTGAGTTATCACCACGCAAGTCCGTTGACTCAACTTCTGGATCAAGTCCTTGAGATGCTACACTGGTTTGCTCCTCTCTGAGCTGTCTGGTTTCCTTTCTCGTTCTACGCGCAGTCTTTTCTACTTCAGGGTCAAAAATCAAGTCACCTGTACGAGAAGACCGAGGCATACACTAGAAAAATACCAAAAAATTAGAGCAAAAATGAACTTAAAAAGAAACAATTAATAACGCCAATCCCCGGCAACGGCGCCAAAAATTGACAGGTTGTCAGCCTGTGCAATAATAAAATTAAGCCTAGTTGCCAGTTAAAGTAGCCAAAGCCCGATTCCAAGTACTGGAGCAGGGACTCTAGGTGTGCCATCGCTTGATCCGATATATCCGAATGGGATGGCTTTTTTTCACAAATAATTATGAATTTTATAGACAGGGCAAATAGGGTCGTATCCTCAGGGATTGGGGATATTTGTCTCTTAAGAAGTCCACAGTAACACAGGGGGGTGATTTTGTAGGAACGACGGCGATCAAATAAATTCAAATAAGAAAGTAAAAATAAATAACTAACTAGAAATTAAACAACAATTCGCTGAACTTAGAGTAACAATAATTAAAGGCCTAAATCAATTAAAACAAGGAAACAATTAAAGATAAAATAAAGTAAGCAACTAAAAGTCAAATGGAAATTCACTAAAATCAAGGTAATATTAATTAAAGATCTAGCCAAGAAATAACTTCAGCAATGGTTCACCTAATTGATCATCGAAGCAAAGGCAATTTCAATTATTTATCAATAAATAGGTTATAACTACCAAACAAGTGATGGCAGTCAACCCCTCCGTACTGGGTCGGTGATTAAGGTACGTCCGTTAATCACTGCTCTAATTAGGAAATAATCTTAGGTACGTCCGTAAGATTTAATTCCCCAATTACCTTATGTATTAGATGAGCCCTATTCTAACCAAATAGCACACTACCAGGGTTATTTTAGATTAGCCCGCGTATTCCCCTGACACAAACCTAATCATGCCAGTTGTCACTATTTTAGAGCAATTAAACAATTACGGATTTAATGCCCTAATTGACAATAGATTACACAATCAACTAATTATTTGGATCCAAGACAATCAATTAATTAAATAATCATAAGCACTACAATCAAGAAATATGCGAATACCAATAAATAAAAGAAAAAGATGAAATTAAATCGATCTCACAATTTTAGACGACCCAAAGCCTCCGTTGTTCCTTGACTAGAGTGAAGAAACTAGTTCATATTTGATGAACTAAGTCCACAGGAAGTTGGAACAAGAGTCGCGGCCATTGTCACAAAAATTGGGAAAACTCAGTTCGATCTATTCAAGGCGAAAAGCAAATTACAAGAAGCAATCGATTGTTTTAATGCGTCTGCCATACGAAGAAAAGAGAAACTATTCAAGGACCATGCGGAAAAGTCAAAGGAAAAACTCTAATTTCTCCTACCATCCGTGGAGAATATCTCCCCAAAAACTAAGAAGAAAAGTCAAAGGAAGATTCAGCTAAAGGAGAAAATCCAAAGCTAAGCTAAATGAGCTAAAGGTAGTGCTTTTTCTCCTCTGCGCCATTCTTATTCTAATTGCTGCCCAAGCTCTGTGCGGCGGCACCTCCCATGAGTCCAAGGCCCTGTGTCCGCTGCCCTCTTCCGCAAAATTACCAAAATGGGCGTTACATCTTCTTTTCCAAAAATGCCCTCGAGACAAACTCTATCATCTGGACTCCTTTTCTGTCAAATTGGCACTTGTTATCACATTTTTGTTCTACTCCCTGAAATAGATGCAAAATACTAAAAGTGAGTAGATTTTAATAATTAATCCACATCGGATCAGGTAATAGGGGAAATTAATAATAAAATAAATGATAAAATCGCACCCTATCAGGATATAATCTTTTTGTCCCTAAAAAATGGCCATGCATTTGTCACAAGCTGGATTCATGATAAACGTGATAAAAAATCTAAATTGCAACCAAATTTTATCGACTTGATTTTGTAAGGGACATAAATTTGGTATTTCAAAAGCGAAAGGTGGAAAATATTATTTGATGAGATGTGAGTGACATTTTGAACAATTTTCTCTTAGAAAAATATTTTCAAATATTTGTTGTACATAATTCTTGATTCATCTTTTCATTTTACATACATCGCATCATAAAAGTTGTTATAGTAAAGAAAATTCCTAAAAAATGCAATCCCTCTAATCTACAAAACTATTGATTTGAAAATTATCTAAGTGCTTGGATTTGTATGGATTGGTGATTCTTAATTATGTGATAAAGATTGAATAGAAATCATGAAGACCCACCAGGCCTTTGATTGGTGTTTGGTTCTTGACTAAAAGAAGAAAAAAAAAATTGGAGACTTGCCTGTGGGGGACTGATTGGTGAATATGACTTAGGAGGAGCCTAGGATAGGATATGTATGAGTGGTGGACCTTTGGAGTTTGGATTCTTTTCTTGTTTGGTATAGTAGGCTTTTACTCCTCGTTAACATTGTTGATGCCTTCCACAAGCCAACCCCATTATCCACCATTCTACTGGTGGTGTTTTATTTGTCTCTTGTTCTGGTTTGGTTTATTTGACGGTCTGGCAATGGTGATGCTGATTGTGGTCCTGCTGCTGGTTGAATGGTACTAATCTCTTCTTCAAGCGAGTTGATACAGATATCAAGTCAAATTTGGATCAGTGACAAGTTAAAATTGCTTAGGTCAATGTTAAATTAAAGTAGCATCACATTGATTTACTTGCGTAATTTGATGAATTATGACTAATTGAGAGGAACTGGATATTAGGCCATTATTGGATTAAGTTTTGTTTATGCTACTTTTAATTCTTCATTTCTAATAAGATGTTGAATTTACCGTAAAAAATCAATCTTTGGACAAGTTGTCTCGCCAATTTTGGATGAGTTGCAACTCATTGAAATGGAGTTGAGGTAGGTTGTAGATGGTTGTGACAAAGGTTAATTGAAATTTGTCAAATTTAATGCGTTTTTAGTTGATCTCATTGTGCTATATTTTTTTTTCATTTTTTTTACATATATATATTGCTTTTTGTCAATAAGCTCATTTTGATAGGACGTTGTTTGCTGACTTTGTTTAGTTTATTCACAGAAATTATTGCTACGTTATTTATTTTAGCCTCGTGACCTGCGTTATAAATTCCAATTTCTACTAAACTTGCATTTGAAACCATTCAAGAGTGAAAAAAAAAACTAAAAAAAATTTGCTAATGAAATCATGTATTCTTATACTCATAACTAGTTGGGGTCCCCGCGCATTGCGCGGGCGTCAAGGGTTTTTTTTTTTTTTTTTTTTTCGATATTACTGCGTTCAGGAGCTGAGTGAGAATAAGTACAAGATAGCATTATAGAATTTGAAGTATGAGCTAGACATTCGTTTGTATATAAATATACCTTTTGCATTGCTGTTAACCGGCTCTTGAATAACTAATCCAGAAGCAGGTGGTACTTCAGCAAATAATATATTATTTGCAGTGGAAGTGGTACTTTGCATTTTTTGAAGACTTTCTGGAGATGATATTTCATCACATTGTATGTTGTTTGGAGCAGAAGTGACACTTTCCTTTTTTTTAAGATTCGCAGGATCTTCACTCGACAGGCAATTGGTAGTCATAGTAGTAGTTAACGCAGTAGCAGGAGCAGCATGGACAATTTCTTCAGTATGTTCTGATGCATGAGCACCAAAAGATAAGCGCAACTTTTTTCTATGATAAGCCTCTCTCTGCTTCTGTCGACGGATTTCCTTTTTTTTGCCAGACGATCTTGTTCCTCTTCAACTTTTGCTTGGTCACAGTGAATGCGAAAAGTCTCCCCAATAATCGATTTTTCAACTCGTTTTAATTGTTCATGAGCAGGAAGTGCCAAAAAATTATTTAATTTTCTTCTCTGATATGCCTCTCTTTGTTTGGCCAAGCGAATTTCCTTTTCTTGAGGAGAGAGTGCAACGTATTGTTCTCTTAGTTTTTTATTACGTTGGTTCTTTTTTGTAGTTACTGAATCAGCAGAATCAACAACAAACTTGGAGAAGCTCATTTTATTGGACAGCAAGAATCAAATAGCCAATAAATAAAAGTGCAACATGTAGTAATTCAAAACCAATAAGACATTCAATAAAGAGCAGAATAACGAAAATAAACGTGCATATAAAACCGAACCTGGAAGTACAACCGTTATCAATATCAGAGGGAGACTGCAATTGATGTAAAAGTTGCGACAGACTTGCACCGATAACAAGCAGCTACTGAAGTTGCAGAGGGAGACTGCAATTGATGTAAAAGTTGCGACAGACTTGCACCGATAACAAGCAGCTACTGAAGTTGCAGATATAAGAAGCAAGAAAAGAGAAGCTTAGCAAATGAAGCTAGAAGTCAGCAAAGAAAGAAAGAGCATATTGTCTAAGAGCTGCAAATTGTTTAAAAGCTACAAAGAGGAAAATGGAAGACGATGAAAAGAACATGCAAGATGGAGAACAAAGAAGCCACAAACAACATTTATAGTGTTTCAGTAGAACCTCGAAGAACTATAGCTCTCGAAGGACAATAGAGTCATTAGATACTGTGATTGCTGTATTGCTGTAGGCCGGTCAAATAAGGATTTCAATGAGTTATCTTCTTTCACACAAAGAAAAGCCAGACGGCACAAAACTAAAACTCCACCTGGAATGCACAAAAACAATGCGGCGACACATATGCAATTTTTTCAAAGATATCAGATGTACAAAGAGCATGGTGAATATTAATGGCTTATGACACTAAACCACCGTCTATCCATATGAGATGATGAATTTTCTAGAGCAAAGGAACAAATGATGCTTCCCTCTGCATGCTAACAGACATGTGCCTCCATTTTAAATTTGTTCTCACCAACAAAGCAGGTGAACCTTTGATTGCACAAACTCCAACCATGTGGCTGTAATCCGGTAAAGGAAAAATGTTAATGGCTTATGAAGAAGAATGCTAATGGCTTATGACATTAAACCATTGCTGCATTGCTATAATGTCGTCAAACAAGTATTAATGGGCTGTGGCATGATACCACCGTCTGTCCACGTGAATTTCCTAGAGCAGAGAAACAAATGATGAAAGCAGACAGAACTTATCCCTACATTCTCAATTTTTTTCGACCAACAAAGCAGATGAAAGTGCAAGGCGAAAACTGTGCCAAAGAAGTAACTCCAACTGCTTCTTATATATGTGTATAGAAATTAACTTATACTAGACACTAATAATTGAGTCTGGCTCTTGAGAATATCTGTTCTAATTTTATTAGAGTTTCACTCTTGACGTATCTACTCAAAGATTCACTTAATAATTGAATTCATTAATTTCTTATCTTTCTCCCAAACTGTGCTGCACTCCAATGAACTGTTATTTATAATAGTAAGGTGCTGGACATGCAGCACCAATTTTCCTCATTAATCAAATGCTAGAATCCTGAAAATCCAATAAAATCTCATCCATGACAGCTCTAGATTCAGGCGTGGCTTAAGCAGTAAAACATTTGTCACATTCAAATCACAAAAATTGACCTTTGCTAATTCTTGTGACAAACTACTACTATGGTGAGAAAAGAAACAAACTCCTAGAAATGAATGTGGGCTCACATGTTGCCAAAGTCAGTGATGACTTTAATAAAGACTTCCAGATCAAAGAGTTATTCATTTACTTTGGCATCATGCCATGCTCAATTACACCCATACTTTATAGGTCGAAGACTCTAAATCTATGAGCTGCCAATTTTGGCTATATACATAACAATAAAACGAATAGCCCAAAATGACATGAACTTAGGCATGGCCACGGTTCCAAAACCGGTGGTTTTGGTTCCAGAACCGCTGGTTCTGGTTCTTCAAAGAGGTAGAACCAGAACCGCACCATATAAGATGGTTCTGGTTCTGGTTCTAGAACCGCCGGTTCTGGTTCTTCAAAGAGGTAGAACCAAAACTGCATAGTTCTGATTTCGGTTCCTTATGGTTCTCGTTCTGGTTCCGTATGGTATCCTACAATTTTATTTAATTCTTTATTCTTACCAATTTTAATACGAATATAACAATATATTTAAAATTTCAAATAGAATGTACAAAAATAAATACAAAATAAAGATCATATTTTATTTTTATTTTTATTATTATTCTACAAAGTAAGAAGTAATAAATAGACAATACAAATTTTATGAAAAGTACATTACATTGTCAAATTAAAAAGTACATTACACTATCAAATGATTGTCATGTGTTAACTTTCTTGAGTTGGACAATCATCAATGTTGAAGATTTCATTTAAAGAAATATTGCAAAAAATATTTTTTTGCTTGCTTGATTTTGAAGATGAGTTACTACCATCAAAACTTGCCATTTTTTGATAGCAAATAACCAAAAAAAAAAGTAATAATTTAATACTGCAAATTTTGGCTATATACATAATAATAAAACGAATAGCCCAAAATGACATGAACTCTACCTTTCATCAAATTCTAGTATTTGGTATTGATTAACAATAGCTAGTATTAATTTCAAATTCAACAGAGTTGTAAATCTCTCATAAAAGGAAGGAAAAAAAAAAGACGAAAGATTCTTAACCATTGCGATAGATCAGACTCCTGTGAAATCTAAATTTTCTTAAGAATGACATATCAATGTAAGTTTTTGTGCACTTCCATGCCATCTTGCCAACTCTGCACAGTGTGAATCAACCATTGGCACAGTTTTACCTACCAAATCAAGAAGCCCCATCAGCCTTGTGCATTGTGTGGTTTTGTAACCATCTAATATGCCTCGACATAAAGAACCAAATCTTGTAATTTATGAACTTTCTATCAAAATGTCAGAGATTTACTGCTTAGGTAATCCGATCGAACATCATATAAAATGGTAGCTCTTGACGCTTGGTCTTCCATCATCTAATCCCAACAATCTGTCATTTGGCTGTACTAAGATTGACATTGATTTTTTTTTTTTGGTCAATATCTACTATCTAACGGGTTCTTTTACTGGATATGAAATTGATGAATGGTTCACACCAAAAATTGTATGTTGCAGAAATTGTTCGGTATCAACACGTGCACTTGTAAACACCTGATAGATTAATATAATGCTCAAATGCCATATTCACAATCAGTTTACAGAAGTACCTCTTCTTTGTGCCCAGGATCCTGGTAGAAGTAAAAGAGTACACATATGGATACAGAGGATGTAGACACGAAGAAAGTGAACACTTGCTTGTTATATTTTGCCCCTAATTTTGAGTAAGTTTAGATACACTTTGTAGCCGCATGAAAATGAAGCCTTACAAGTTGAGTTCTATCTAGAACAAACTGTTTGATATAAATTTTATAATTTTATATATAAATTTGTACAATTTAGACGTGAATTTAAATTTGTTAAATTATACGAGTAAGTTGGTATAATATTCATGATCACATCAAAACAACACAAATTTATGTTAAATGTAAAACGAATTACACAAATCGATTTGAATTCGGCAAAACTCAACTTATGAGGCCTGATCCTGATTGTACAAATTAGGAGATTGGAGTTGCTAATTAAATACTAGCATGTGCTTTGGTAGTTAAAGAAAAGGAAACTGGAAAACAATTAGCTTGGCTGCCCGCAAGCTATTGGTCGTCGAGGCTGATTGCTTATTCATTTTTTTAATCCGTCGTTGTCAGTATGATAGAAAAAATTATTGCAACATGGTTCATATGAATCCCATACCCTGCCTATAAATTGCGAGCTATACAATTCACACGACCAAGAAGAAACAATCATAGAATCTCAAAAAAATGGATTTGGCTAGAAATGGTGACCATACTGGTGAGCTTTTGCGAGCTCAAGCTCACATATGGAACCATATATTCAACTTCATAAATTCCATGTCCCTCAAATGTGCAATTCAATTAGGCATTCCAGACATTATTCACAAACATGGCCAGCCAATGGCCCTTCCTCAATTGATCGATGCTCTTCCCATCAATAATGCAAAAGCCCCTTTTGTTTATCGTCTTATGCGGATTTTAATCCACTCGGGATTCTTCATCAAAGCAAAGATTCCCGGTAATGAAGGCCAAGAGGGGTATGCACTCACTTCTGCTTCGAAACTTCTACTAGCAAATGACCCTTTTAGCGTGACACCGTTTCTACTTGCCATGCTTGATCCAATCTTGACTGATCCATGGCACCATTTTAGCCAGTGGTTTCAAAACAATGAAGAAACCTCATTTCATACCTGTCATGGGACATCACTTTGGGAGCTTGCAGGTCGCCAACCGCAGCTAAACCAGTTTTTCAATGAAGGCATGGCTAGTGATGCCCGGTTGGTTAGTACCATGGTTATCAAGAATTGTAAGGATGTTTTTATGGGGCTGAATTCGTTGATTGATGTTGGGGGTGGAACTGGAACTGTGGCTAAGGCTATTGCTGATGCTTTTCCTCATCTGGAATGCTCTGTGCTTGATCTTCCTCATGTCGTTGATGGCTGGGAAAGTAGTAAGAACTTGGCCTATGTGGGAGGTGACATGTTTGAAGCCATTCCTCCAGCAGATGCTGTTTTATTGAAGGTATAAATCAATCAGAAATAGTTTATTGGTTTAATAACTAACTTTGTGTACTTTGCTTCAGTTTCCACTATTAAACTTCACCTGTTAAAGGGACAAGTGTCAATTTCAAGTAAACAAGAAAATATGCTTTGGGCACATGCTTAATTTGGAAACTGCACCATGAAGAAAAGGATAAACAAGTTTTAACAAATACAATTTAAATACCCTTTTTATTGTTTTTAATTTCTTAAGATAGGATCTAGTACTGCTAGTCGTATCTTATGATTAATAGAACAAACTGTGTTTCATTTCCTCCGGAATAGTCAAGGTATGGTTTCCACGTTCAAAAATGAAATTTTATACAATGGAGTGATACATCTTTGCCCCTTGTGTATGTGATCAAACATTATATCACCTTATTACTCTTCATTCACTAAACTTGGTGATACTTTTATGTTTTTGGCTGATGAAAATAACGATAGTCTTGCTTTTTAACTTCTCCCACACTATCTACCATTTTCTTTTAATCATTTTAGTCAACAAATTTTACATGGGATATATGAGTTTTCTGACACATTCTTCAATGCTTATGATGCTAATGGCAGTGGATATTGCATGATTGGAGCGATGAGGAATGTGTACAAATACTCAGGAAATGTAAAGAAGCAATTCCTAGCAAGGAAAAGGGAGGCAAGGTGATAATTATTGACATGCTGCTGAAAAGCCAGCAAAATGGAGATGATGATGCAGAGGCTATTGAAACCCAATTGTTCTTCGATATGCTGATGATGGTTGTAGTCAATGGAAGAGAAAGAAATGAGAAAGATTGGGAAAAGCTTTTCTTTGAGGCGGGCTTCAATGGCTATAAGATAACTCCAGTACTGGGCTTGAGATCGATCATTGAGGTTTATTATTATTAATAAGTTTCTTGCACTTTGTTTGTGCTAAAGAGTGATGGATCTATATTCAAGGCCTTCAAAATAAGTTTCCTTGAACATGTATTGATGCTATGATTTGTATTACCAAAATATGTCGATTAATAGTGAAGGAAGTATAACTCTTCAAATGATCTGATGGTACAGAATTATCAACCTAAGCTGCAAAACTCATTTATTTTCAAATATCATCCATCAGTTCTTCATACAACATCTGGGCTGCTTTTATTTTCCACAAATATGTTGCTGACAACTTATGACAGGAAAGGAGATTATTTTAAGCAATCTCGGAAAATAAAAGGTTTAAGTGGAAAGAATTCTTTTACCATCAGCTCACAAGATATTCTACGCTAATAGAATTTACTGCACAGAA